AGGAGTCCTTGTGGCACCTTAGAGAAAGGATTGGCAACCTTTGGCACGCGGCTCACGAGGGTAAGCCCCCTGGCGGGCCGGGCTGGTTTGTTTATCTGCTGCGTCGGCAGGTTTGGCCAATCGCGGCTCCCACTGGTCACTCCAGGCCAACGGGGGCAGTGGGAAGCGGCGGCCAGTACATACCTCGGCCCGCGCTGCTTCCCGCAGCCCCCATTGGCCAGGAGCGTCAAACCGCGGCCAGTGGGAGCCGCGATCAGCCGAACCTGCAGACGCGGCAGGTAAACAAACTGGCCCGGCCCACCAGGGTGCTTACCCTGGTGAGCCGCGTGCCAAAGGTTGCCGACCCCTGCCTTAGAGACTAACAAATTTATTTGGGCATAAGCTTTTGTGGGCTAAAACACACTTCATCAGATGCGTGGAGTGGAAAATACAGTAGGAAAATGTATATACACAGTACACGAAAAGATGGGAATTGCCTTATCACATGGGGGGTCAGTGCTAACGAGCCAAAGCAATTAAAGTGGAAGTGGGCTATTCTCAACAGGAGGAAAATCACTTTTGTAGTGGTAATGAGGCCAATGTAAACAGGGTGGCCCATTTCAAACAGTTGACAAGAAGGGGTGAGTCTCAGCAGGGGAAATTAGTTTTTGTAGTGACCCAGCCACTCCCAGTCCTTATTCAGGCCTAATTTGATGGTGTCCAGTTTGCAGATTAATTCCAGTTTCTTGTTGAAGTCAGTTTATGAAGGTTTTTTTGTCGTTGAAGAATGGCCACTTTTAAGTCTGTTATTGAGTGTCCAGGTAGATTGAAGTGCTCTCCTACTGGTTTTTGAATGTTACAATTCTTGATGTTTGATTTGTGTCCATTTATTCTTTTGCATAGAGACTGTCCGGTTTGGCCAATGCACATGGCAGAGGGGCATTGCTGGCACAGGATGGCATATATCACATTGGTAGATGTGCAGGTGAACGAGCCCCTGATGGTCCAGCTGATGTGGTTAGGTCCTATGATGGTGTCCCTTGAATAGATATGCGGACAGAGTTGGCAACGGGGTTTGGGCGTGAACTGTGTTAACTGCCTGAGGTGTTCAAGGACAACACCATCTGGATGATATAAATCATCTGGAATGAAGCTTTCCCACCTCGGCACAGCAGAAATGTTGACTTACCTGAGAGGTGAGATTAGCGTGTGCATGTGTAGCCACTGTGACTGCGGGGCGGGGGGCTGTATTTTTGGTGGATTAGTGCGTTGGTGAGTCTGTGCTGTGAGTGGGGAACACCCACACTGCTGCTGTCCTACTCCCTAGTGCGCGAATCACATCTGCGCAGTCATGTCAATCACTTGTGTGAACGTACCTTTGCAACGGCATCAGTGCGTCACGAGACCCATGGCCCAGCAGACGCTGGGGCACTCGCTGTTGCTAGATTCCAGGCAGCGTGGTCTAGTCGAGACCTTCTCCAGTAGCAGCATGGTCTATCTCTCGCCACGCTACATCCCAATGCAGAGCAGAGATCTTCATGGTCTCCATGCAGGCAGTTGGACTGAGGAGTCTTTCACTGAGTAAAACAAGTGGACAAGGAGTTGGTGCGTGTCTGGGCATCTCTGACGGATGCTGCTTTGAGATAAAGACTTGTCCAAGAGCTTCCTCCTTAATTGCATGTTACTTGCGGAGGCAGCACCCTCAGGGTCCTCATCTCCTAGGAGTCACTCCAGGGGGGGCTGCCAATGGGAGGAAGATCATGAACCATAGAAACGGATGCAGGAGCTAATGTCATGCAGGACATCAGCCCAGATGACCATAATGGTCTTATCCCACCTTAAAATCCGGAGTGAATCAGGACTTTGTCAATAAAAAAATGTTTTTGTTGACAAAATGCTGAGTCATCAAAACCAAAACGGTTTGCAAAGGTGGGTCCATTTGGGTGAATCACTCCTCAACAATTTTTTTGAAAAAAAAGTTTTGAAGCCCTTGAAACTTTTGGTTTTGACACTGTCATCACTGGAAAACTGGACTTGGGTTTGTTTCATAAGACTTCATTTTGAAATTCAAACTAATTAGACATGAGAAAAGGTTACCAAAAAAGACAAAAAATTGTCATAATTGAAATGAAACATTTAAATGTACCCCTATTGGATTTTTTTTTCTTCATTTTTTCAGTTCCCAAAATCTATTTAACTAAGGTACTTATCTGGCCTCCATTACTCTAATAGCTGGGCATCTTTCATGTGTTTATTCTCACAGGTAGGGAATTATCGTCCTCATTTTACAGATGGGAAACTGAGGCACAGAGCCCAAATGTCACAGAGGGAGTTTGGGGCACTGGAGGGAATTGGAGCTGGGTTTCTCAAGTTCTTAGCTAGCTCCCTGCCACTGAACAAGCTATTCTCTGAGCTATTCTCTGAGGTATGGGTTTGAATCCCACCACAGGTCAGCAGTGGGTGACCAAAATCTGCTCCTTGTGGATGATGAGACACACAGTAACAGAGATCAGAAGCCCACTGTGCCGGGGGCTGCACGCACAAAGACAGCTGGGCACCAAAGAGCTGACCGCCTAAATAGACAACGGGTGGGAGGCTGGAGAGAAGGGACATGACTTTACCAAGGGCACACAGCAGGGCAGTGGCAGAACTAGGAACCAGATGTGACGTCTCATTCCATATTCTTTATGAAAATATGCTGGTGATCTGAATATGACATAACTGAGAGATACTTTATGCTAGATGGGTCATGTGAGGTATCATCGGAAAGGTTCTGCTTTACTGAATGTGATTATCCTGTGTGTGTGCCTGTATCATTCCTGTGTCTAAAGTTAGGAATATTGACTATGTATCTGTATTTCAACTGTGCTTCTTTGGGTGACGCCCCCCCTGCGAACACTTCAGGTAGAACAATGGAAAAGCCAGACAGCGCTGACGGCCCATCGCCGAGGACAATGGACTGTAACAGAGCTCAGTCTTCCTGTGACCGTGTGGGTCACCCTGTGAAGAATGGCCACAGGGGCCCTGCAGAGTCAGGTGGTCTTGGCACCTGATGCTAAAACATGACCTGGGACTTCTTGGAACTTTCCACGGGGGGGTTAAACTAGGAAACAAAGGACTCCCGCCTTATGCAAATCCTACTTAAGGGTGGGGAGTGAAGTCATCCTGGTTGTCAGTTCTTCCATTACCCCACCCGAGGTGACGGCCGGAAACAACTAAAACTGAACTGGGGGGGAGGGGGAACTGGGCCCAGGCTGGAAGGGCGTCTGGCCTGTGAAGATTATTAGAACCACATTTAGGGTGAGAACTTACATGGAGCCAGTTTCTTTAGTGTATGAAGCTTCGTTTGTGGGCTCTGTTTTATTTTCTTAATAATCAGCCTTGTTCTGTCTGCTACCTCCTTAACTACGTAAATTACACCTGTTATAGTGACTACATTTATTTCTGATGTAAAATACAACCCAGTTTAGGTGATTTATAAATTGGGGGGGAGGGGAGCGAGAAATTGTGCATACCCTCTTCCACATTGAGGGAAGAGGCGAATATAATATATTCCAAGGGAGAGGGACAGCTGAGTGCTGGAGCAAGTCCCTGAAGCTGGGTCTTCCCAGAGCTGATCTGCAGCTGGGGGTGGCCCTGCCTGTGTGCGCTAGAGGAGGTTTGAAGAGCCTGGCTCAGCAAGACAGGTTAAAGGGGCCCAGGCTGGCAGAACAGGTAGACTCAGTGATATCAGCACATCGGGTGACTTCCCCAGGGGCCCAACCCGTCACACCAGAAACCAGGTCTCCTGAGTGGGCCTCGGAGGGAAGAATTTTCCCATCCCACAAGAATTTTTGAGATTTCGTATCCCAAATCGAAATGATGGAAACACTGAAATCTCAACATTTGTTATGAACTGACAAACTGGAAAAACAACGTAGTGAGGATCAGTTGAAAGCTGTCATGTTGGTAACTTCAACATGTTTGTATTTTGACCTTTCCTAATGCAAGTAGGGGGTAATGAACCACTGGTGCAACTTGCCAAGGGCTGTGGTGGATGCGCCATCGCTGGAAATCTGGAAATCAAGACCGGCTGGTTTTCTAAGCCATACTGCGACTGAACTCGGAGCAAGCATGAACTTCGGGAAGTCCTGTGCTATGCAGGAGGTCAGAGCACATGATCACCATGCTCCTTTCTGGCCTTCGAATCTCTGAAAGTTTGTGTGTTCTGTATACACAACGTGTCTCATATACCCAAAAACGGAGGCAGCCTGCTGTGAGAACCTGGAGGACTGCAAAGGATACTAGCCTACTACTGCTTATGCCTGTCAGAGCTCGGGCTTGATCCAAAGCCTACTGAAGTCAATGGGCATCTTTCCTCTGATTTCAATGGGGTTTTCATTCAGACCCCTATTAATTGTCAAAGGGATTTAGGGGAATTAAGTTAAGCCCTTTGAATGCACCATGTGTTGGGCTTTCGCCCTAGTCCTAGAGGGAAGACATAGATTGTGGGTTCAGAGATTGCTGACCCACGAAGCTGAATTGCCATTTGCAGAAGGTCCGAACAGGGCACAGAGTGAAGGCTGCTGCAATTTCCCATCTCCTCCGAGACCTAGCAAGGTCCCCCAATTCGTGTTGTGCAGCTTAAAAAGAGTGATGGGAGGACTAAGCTATCGACTCAGTGCTAGCTGGCTCTGCTTAGTCTCCAAGGGGGATATCTTCCCTCAGCCCCATGGAAAGTGACACCTCCCAGAGGGCAGGGATGCCCTAACTTTCCCTCGGGTACAAAACTGGAGAGGGAGACGGGGTGACTAATGGAAAACTTTCTCTGAAAGTTTCTTCAAAAAGTCTTTGGTGTTTTCATCAAAAAACCCGGGAACACTTTAAAAAAGGCCAGGACTCAAACATTTCATTTAACACAAAACTGATTGTGTCCCCCCACAACTGCCAGAGGCCCAAAACAACCCGGCTCTCCCAGAGATACCACGGAGATGGCTCATCCTCCTCCATCGCTTTTATTCATCTCGCCAGTGCCCGAGGCGCTACGGTGGGAGATGGAGCATGAAGTGCCCCTCACCCAACATCTGGGCATAGGCCAGGTCCCGGAGTGGCAGCGGGGGCCCCTGGGCCTGGCCCCTCGGCGCCTCCCGGTGGATGAGCGGCGGGAACTCCTCCACGGGCTCTTCTGAGGACACCAGGCTGCCCGCCAGCCGGTGGTAGCGGTAATTCTCCTCCCAAGCGCCTCCGTCTCCGGCCACCCACAACGAGGAGGACAGGGGAGGCAGGGGTCTGGGCTTGCGGCGCCAGCGTCTCCGAGACGGGGCCGCCCCCCAGGGCGAGTTCTCCAGGTGGTGGCGCAGCGTGTCCGGGGAGCTGAGGAGCGCCTCTCGGGGCTGGAAGAGAAGGGGGGTGTTGGGTTACAGAGGGATCGGAGAGGCGGACAGACCCATGGGGGGGAGGGGCTTGGGCCCCACCATCTCACTCACCGTCCCCCGGCCCCTCCACCAGCGGCCCAGCAGCCCTGACGCCCACGCTCGCTCCTCCCATGACTTCCTCAAAGAGACCGCGCTCCCCATGGCGGGGTCCCCTCCCTGCCTGCCCTGCCCGCTCCCCATGCCTGGGGGGCTGCACAGCCCCTGGAGTGATTGTGACCTCAGGGCTGGCCAGGGGGCTGTCACACTGCACTCAGCCTGGGGGGCTGTGACAATGCGGTTCTGGCGGAACCCAACTGAGAGTGCCAACTCAGGACAAATTGCTCAAATAGGGCAGTTACA